TATAAATCGGATGTCTGTGTCTATGAAAATTGTGTTTGTATATATATATGTATATGTTCTTTGTGTTACACTAGAGTGACGAGCAAGATTAGGAGAGAGAGGAGAGAGGTAAATTATATATGCATATTAATTAGATAATTATATATATGTAACTACTATGTATATGTATCAATGATTATGTGTGTATATCTACATAAAATTTGAATTCATATACAATTGAATCAAGTTAAAACATTTGTATTTGTATATCAAATCTCTCTCTCTCGCTTTATACAAACACAAATTATTCATTGTATTTGTATAATTTGTGTTTGTATAAAGCGAGAGAGAAAGTCAAAAGAGAACTGGGCAAATGAAGATATGTATTTATATAATTATAAGTATATAGGACAGAGAGATATGTATTTGTATTTGTATATACAGTTTCTTTCGTTTTATACAAACACAAACACAAATTATATATTCATGTTGGTATAAAGTGAGAGGGACGAGTGAGAGATGTCTGAGAGTGGAGAGTGAGACTCCAGAGAGAGGGGAGAGAGGCGAATGACAAGAAGTTTGTTGCGAATTGAAATTCAATGAAACTATAGCTATAACATTTATTTTGAACTAGTAGTTTTCTATAATGCACAATTTTCCCTAAATTTTTTTGGCAATATGAATCTATAAGATTATACTCCCTCCATCCCATTTTATATGTCATCTCTTTCTATAAATAATTGGTTCATAATACTTGTCATTTCATAAAATTAATGCATAAATTATCATATTCTTCCTTTTTTACCCTTGTGAGTTATTGGCCTTGAAAATATACATTTCAACTTAGAAAAGCTAAACAAATAATTCATGTTCATTGGTTAAATTAATTAATCAAAATAAATTAATTCATATTCATTGACTGAAAACTTGAGTTCCAAAAAATTAAATAAGGGTAGAAAGGTAAAGTTACATCAGTTCTTAATACAAGTGCAAAGTAAAAATGTGACATATAAAATGGGACGGATGGAGTAATAAAAAAATACTCCCTCTATTTCAAAAAGAATAACCCCCTTTCCTTTTTAGTCTGTTTCAAAAAGAATGGTCTCTTTCTTTTGTTGGTAACATTTTAATTTCAGTTTTCCACGTGACATGTTTAAGGCCACAAGATTAAAAGACAATTTTGTACATTTGACATAACTTTAATTTAGGACCACAAAATTCAAAAATCATTTTTATTTTTCTTAAACTCAATGCCAAGTCAAACTAGACCACTCTTTTTGAAACGAAGGGAGTAACTGTTAATTTTCTTTTTGATGAATATAATATTGATTTTTTTTTGGAAATGCGTGTTGAATTGAGAGGTCAAATGGAATGAAAAGCTATGATAAGTAGTTGAATAAGTGCATTTGCAAGAAAGGCGCGGAATAAATTAGAATAGCAATAGTACTTTCACACTTTAAAATTTATGAATTTAATAATTAAAATTTGGAGCTGCTAATTTTTACTCTAGCCGTTCATTTTTATTTATCCACACTAAAATATAATTATCTAATAATATTTGTCTAATTTGTAAAAAAATAATTATTTTTTTGTGTATATTTTATCCTTAGGGTGTGTTTGGTATGAAGGAAAACATTTTCCGGAAAATGTTTTCTAATTTTCTCATGTTTGGTTGGGTTAAATGTTTTGGAAAATGTTTTCCAAATCAACTCATTTTCCTCAAATTTAAGGAAAATGACTTCCCTTCAAAACTTAAGGAAAACATTTTCCAAAACTCTCTTCCAACTTCCAATTAAAAAAAAAATTGTTGAAAAAATCAATTTATTTGGTCCCTACCCTCAAACCAGCCCCCCCCCCCCCCAATCACCCCCAAAAAATAATAATTTAAAGTTTGTTTTTAAATTCAATATTTTTACCCCACCCTCACCCCTACCCCCACCCCCTACCACCACCCCTCCCAAAAAAATATTAAAAGTTGTTTTTAAAAGATATTTCTAATTTCAATTTTTTATTTTTTTACACCCCCCACCTCCTACCCTCGCCCCCCAGCCTCCTATCAGCCCCCCACTCCTTTCAAAAAGAAAAAAATTTAAGTTTGTTCTAAAAAATATTATTTCATTTTTTCACCCTTACCCTCGACCCCCCCCCCCCGCCCGCCCTACCAGCCCCCACCCCCAAAAGAAAATTTAAGTTTGTTTTTAAAAAATATTTCGACTTCAAAATTTCATTTTTTCCACCCCTACCCTCGACCCCCCCACCCCCACCCACCCACTCCCTACCAGCCCCCCCCACCCCCAAAAAAAAAAATTTAAGTTTATTTTTAAAAAATATTTTCGACTTCAAAATTTCATTTTTTCATCCCTACCCTCGACCCCCCACCCACCCAACCCCTACTAGCCCCCCCAGCCCCCCCAAAAAATATAATTTAAGTTTGTTTTTTAAAAAATATTTTTAACTTTAAAATTTCTATTTTTCACCCCTACCCTCGACCCCCCACCCCCCAAAAAAAATTTTAAGTTTGTTTTTAAAAAATATTTTTAACTTCAAAATTTCAATTTTTCACTCCTACCCTCGACTCCCACCACCCCCCACCCCCACCCACCCCCTACCAGCCCCCACCCCCCAAAAAAAATTAAGTTTGTTTTTAAAAAATATTTTTAATTTCAATAATTATTTTCTACTCTAGTAAAAATAAAAGAATTTTTTCAAAAACATTTTTCATTCATAAATCAAACACTAAAAATATTTTTCGGAAAATATTTTCTACTCACCAACCAAACATGAGAAAATAAGTCAAAAATCAACTTGTTTTCCAAGAAAACATTTTCTAGGAAAACATTTTCCATGGAAAACATTTTCCTTCATACCAAACACACCCTTACTATTAATTACTTTTGAATATCTAATACATTTCTTAAAATATTAAATTTAATATATTTAAAGAATAATATAGTAATATTATCTTTATTATATATTATTTCTTAAGGTATGTGTTAATGGACAACAACTATTCGGCAGAGAATATAATTTAGTGATTTGTTGCACATAAATTTATGTTCCACAATAAAAGTATTACTACTAATTTATTGTTATGCTACATCTATCCCTGTAGCTTATTATTCCCTTTATTTACTTTTCTTCGTTTATATTCTCTCCGTCTATATATTATAATTTATATTAAAATTAGTTGTCTAATAATATATATCTAATTTGGAAAATTAAAAGATAATTTTTTTTAATGTCTATTTTATGTTTACTATTAAATATTATTAAATATCTAATATATTTTCTAAAACATTAAGTTTGATATGCTTAAAGGGTAATGTAGTAATATTACTCCTATTATTTATTGTTTCTTATAGTGTGTTGTCAAGTTAATAATGCACAACTATTGTTGAACAGAAGCAATATATATTTTACACTTTTCAAAAAATAAAAATCAATATATATATATATATATATATATATATATATATATATATAAACTTCTTCCGTTTTATATTAGTTGATCATATATCTTACTAAAAAATAGTTATCTCATATTAGTTGACCAGCTTATTATTAAAAAAGCATTAGTTAATTTTTTCCTATATTATTCTTGCAATAAATTTCTTTTCGAGTGTTTACAATTGTTTGTAAAATTTTAAAGAAATTAATGTAAATTACTAAAACTATTATGTTGTATAAAAATACCACAGAAGGAATATTTATTATAATATTCATATTAATTACTAGAGTTTGGCAGTAGCAAATAGCAATGGTAGTGGTGGGGCTCCTAGAAGATATAATTACTTGACCAACGACTTGTGACCAACTAGTGAAGTAGTTGAAAATTTTCATTTCTCTCACTCTGGCGGCTTTTAGGAGTTCGGCCACGAATTGTTTTTTACTTTTTTTTTAAAATTAAATTTTGGTAAATATATTTAGTTATAAAATTTAGAAATTCAATACCAAGTTAAATTTGAGAACTTTCAAAAATTTGAATACACCAAAAAGATTGTATCACTTTTTTCACTTTAAATTACTCATAAAAAATAAAAATAAAATTTTGATCATCAAATACAATTTTAATTTTATATATACGATTTCCAGTTTAAAATTATTTTTTCCCCTAAATCTTACAATGAAAAATGATGAAAGGTCCACTTTAATTTAATGAGTGAAGGGTTAAAAACACTCCTAGATTATCTTTTTTTTTAGTTTCATACTAAACTATTGAAAGTGCGAATTTCATAACTGAACTATGAGTCATCAGTTTGAGAAACATACTTCTCTCTTTCATGACACTCCATTGATGGTGTGTACACTATACCCTATTTTATTTTTAAAAGATTGCTACACTACATTCTATACGGACAAAATATTTCATTTTGATAACACATAAATAAATTATTAGTATTAGTTAAAGTTTAAAGTATTATAAAAAATATATAAATTATTTTTCAAAAAATGAAATTTAAAACATTTTTCTTACCTCACTCCACCACCCCATCTCATCGTACCCACCTCCCAACACCCATTTTTTTTTTAAAAAAAAATTCTTACTTCATCCCTCTCTAATTTAAAAAATCCTACATCACCCCATTATCCAAGTGGAATTTTACACATAGATGTGTTTTCAAATAATAATTTAGATATAAAATTACGCTCTAAATAGTTTAGGTACGAAACCTTAAAAAAATGGGCAGTTTAAATATGCTTTCGATACTTGCTTCAAATTTAATTAGATCATGTTTGGATTTTGCATAAAAGTTGGTTAAACCCATTTTTAAGTCAATTTTAGCTTTTGATATAGTTTAACAAAGTTAAAAATAACTTGAAATAATTTTTTTTAAAAAAATTAAAAACCAAAAGTAGGACTCCCTTACTTTTTTATTTTTTTACTTTAAAACTATTTTTATTCAGCTTATCCAAACAGCTCTTAATCTTCCTTTTTCAGCTTGTGTTGAAGTATATGGAAAAACTATATAAATGATGGTGTTTCTTATAAGAAACCATATGAGTAGCAACGCAAATCAGCAATGAGTCATAAGATTTTCTTCCTTTGTCCTTTATTCGTCGTGTTAATAGTCATCCAGAAAATCGATGCTGTGGATTACTCTGTTACCAACACGGCGGCAAACACCCCTGGCGGTGCCCGTTTCAACCGAGATATCGGAGCTCAATATAGTCAACAAACACTGGCAGCTGCCACTTCCTACATATGGAATACCTTCCAGCAGCAGAATTCTCCAGCTTGCCGTAAAAACGTACCAAAAGTAAGCTTGTTCATCGATGACATGAGCGGAGTAGCTTTTGCCATCAACAATGAGATTCATGTTAGTGCAAGGTACACATAAATAAGCCCTCATGAATGCATGTCTCAAACTTACATATAAAAAATTAATTGATACATGCACCTTTACGGTATATATATACGTCAAATCTTACTTTATATTATCTATAACATTTTGAACACTCTTAGTTATAGCTCAGTAGAAAAGATGTGCACAAAGTTGTATGATGTCCATGTTTATTACTATTAAGTTTGTAGGCAAAGGCGGATCCACACTTGTTAATTTCGAAAAAATTCATGTATATATATCTTGAAAAATTGACATAAACTAGAATATAATTAATAGTGCACCCAAGAAAAGCATATGAGTGCCCTTGTGCTATTGATATAAGCTAGAGGAACCATCATGAGACTAGGGTTTGAATCTTTCTAAAGCCTTTTTTCACTGTTTTTATTTTAAGTAGTTGAAAACGTAATATTCCTAGATTCACCTCTGTTTGTAGGTCACTCAAGTTCGATTCCCCATATCCTCATTTTTGTTATATGATATATGATTTGCCTATTTTATTTTAAATCTTGGCCGCCTAAGCTCTAATTTCGTTAAAAAAAAGGTCATTTTAATTCAAAAGTATAATTATAAAATAACATTTTTTTTGCTTAGTTTGATTATTATTTTTTGTTAGTGCATCCAATATCACGGATAAAAAATAATTCGTTTACTATTCAAAATTTGAACGTTACATTTGTGTTTCCAGGTATATCCAAGGTTATTCTGGGGATGTTAAGAGAGAGATCACTGGTGTATTATACCACGAAAGTGCTCATATTTGGCAGTGGAATGGGAATGGTAAGGCTCCTGGAGGATTAATTGAAGGGATTGCTGATTATGTGAGGCTCAAAGCTGGTCTTGGTCCAAGCCACTGGGTGAAACCAGGTCAGGGTGATCGTTGGGACCAAGGCTATGATGTGACTGCTCAATTTCTTAGTTACTGCAACAGTTTAAGAAATGGATTTGTGGCACAGCTTAACAAAAAAATGAGAAATGGTTATAGTAATCAGTTCTTTGTTGACTTACTAGGAAAGACAGTTGATCAACTTGGGAGTGATTATAAAGCTAAATATCGCAACTAACTTTACCTATATATTTACCAATATTACAAGGCTATGCATGTGTGTCATGGCTTTCTTGAGGATATTAAAGTGACAACAATAATATAATAAAAATAAGCTTTCAAGGGGTTAATTTTACAACTTATTTCATCTGCGTGACTAATGGATCCGACTCCTCTCCATTTCTCTTCTCTTCATTTTTCTCAAGTTCTAGCTTGGATAGGAGACACATGTCATAGTTTAAAATTAATAGTTGAGATCTAATTGATTAAAGTAAAGTCATAACCATAGTTATTTACTTCCATATATTTGCTTCTTAAATATTTTTGCAATCCATTATATTTAACCTAAATATAATTGTTTTAAAATTCTTTACTGCCCTGCATACATATATAAAACTTTTACTAAATATTTTTATCTTTTTGAAAAAAATTATAGTAAAGCTAAAACATTTTTACTAGAGTATTAAGAGCTACAATGTCTATAGAGCAATATGGACTCCATTTAGGGAGTAAGAAAGAATTTAAAGTTGAGTGACAAAATTTATTTTACTCCTAAAATTAGAAAAAGAAAACGTTAGGTCACAATTTTTAATTTTTTATTTGGCAAATATTATTTGAGAAATGGCAAACGTTAGGGAAAAAAAATAAAAATCAGCAAAAAAATTACTCAAGTAATTAAGAAAAGAAATTCTTTTAATTATATTTAGGAAAAATATAATATAAATCTAGAATTGTTGGATTGCAAAAATATTTATGAAACAAATATATGAAAGTAAACAACTATGATTAGGACTTTGCTTTAATTAATTAAATCTCAACCATTAATTCTAAACTATGACATGTGTCTCCAATCTAAGCTAGAACTTGGATAAAATGGAGAAAAGAGAAATGGAGAGGAGCCGGATCCATGACTAATTGGTTAGCAATTCCAGTGCAAGCATCCAAATATATATATATATATTATTTTTTTATTTTTTTTTGAAATTAGGGTAAGAAATATTCTTAAATTATGTGAAATTGAACAAAAATATCATTACTTAATAGTTTGGTTTAAAAGTATCCTTATAGTTAATAGTTTGATTCAAAAATGTCTCTATTGTTACTTAGTAGGTAAAATATGTCCTTTTTTTTCAAATATATATTTTATTTCCTTTTCATTTTTTAACATGAAATGTTTCTAATGATAATTCATTTTGTTAGTAAATGATTAGTTCAAAAAATATTAAGAAATAAAATATTTCTTATTATCGTTATCTAAATGAAAATTAATGATTGGGTTACTATGATCTTAAATATATGACTTTCAATTAAGAAGGTACATGTAGTTATTCTATTTTTAATTGATAAAATGAGATCAAGAAGAAAACGAAAAATATTTCCTATTTATTTATTAGTTATTCTATTTTTAATTGATAAAATGAGATTAAGAAGAAAACAAAAAATGTTTCCTATTTATTTATTAGTTATTCTATTTTTAATTGATAAAATGAGATTAAGAAGAAAACAAAAAATGTTTCTTATTTATTTATTAGTTAAATTGATTTTAAAAAGAAAAGAAACAAAATAATTTTTTTTTAAATAATATTTTTTATTAGGAATAACATGTGCTTAAAAAGAAAAAAATATTTATCAGGAAAAGGAATATTTTTATTTTTGACTCATTAAATAGAAAAAAGAGCATTCTTAGACCAAACTATTAGGGACAAGAGTATTTTTGAACTTAACTATTGATAACATAAGCATTTTTAGACCAAACTATTAATTGAACACATTTTTATTCCATATCATATAGTTTAAGGACAAATTTTACTTTTTTTCGTTTATGATTTGTTAGTCAATTTAGATTGGTTTGTTGAAATTATTAATTTGTGTTGCGCTTAAAGTTTTGGTTTAATATAGAAGCAGTAAGTTATCTTTCAATTATATGTGATTTTAATTTAGTTTATGACTTCTACTTTTTTCAATTCGTAAGTAAAAACTTTGCTCTTTTGTAAACAAAATAAATGAAACACTAGGACAAAATAATATTCTTAAATTTCTTAAAGTTAGCAAAATTTTGAATTGGTTAAGTAGAATATCTGGCTAAAGTTGACTTTAATTATGTATATTAAAAAGGGAAAGTTTAAAGATGGTACTCGTCCATAACTAGGGACTAGCACATCATATTCATCCCGCAAGTTTCTTACTCTAGACTCTAGAGAAATAGGTAATTGCTGCTTAAGTTATTTTTATTGAGCAAAAGTGACACAGATTAGATTAATAATTAATGAGTTGAAATTCATTTTTTGACTTCTTGTTAAGTTTTTTCCTTTCATTTTTTTTTCTTTTCATTTTGACTATGTTATATAAATTTCTAATTATCTAAAATAAGGGGTGAAAAGAAGTGGGAACAACCATCTCGACAGTCGATATTGGCGTAACAAGATGTCAATCAATCCATGCCCATAATAATATCAAAGTATAGTATCTCTGGCTCTATCAAATCTGTAGAGGTTTGACGACCAACAATTTCTACTATACAACCTCGGTAAACCCTCATAGAAAATAGTGGCAACAATTGAGTCGTCAACTAGAGTAGATACAACAAAAGGTCATTGCAATGACTCTGGTACTATAGAAACCATTCCAACAATAAATGGAGTAACATACGATATTTCAGAGTTCGGATCTATCAAGGAATAAATAAAGCGAGAACAAAAGGTCAATATACCTGCCAATGCATAAATGGGATTCTGGCCACTTCCAGAACTAGATGCTCCCCCTTTGCCTCGACCTCTACTTGAGGAAGATTGTGGCCGTCTCTCTGCAGAACATAGTAAAGCATATGACCATATTACTGATTCGACCCCCTCTATCCTGAAACCTTTTGGCCCTTGAATGGACTATATATTTTTATATAAACCTACTGATCATAAGAATAGCATGTTGTGGAGTCATAACGACATCTTCCAATATGTGATCTACTGCAAATATCACAATGTAACACAACTGATCTTGACTGCTCTAGGCGGCGATACTGCTGCGAGTATGACGCTCGTGGAGCTTTCATCCAAACCTAACTGCCCCTAGTGATCTAACCTGGTACCTTTGGATTGATGTGGTCAGGAACTGGGTGGTTTCTTTATATACCAATGTTGGGACGCCCGTGAGTGTTTATTTGAAGCTGCGTAGGACTATTATTGTTTTGTTACTCTCTCTTGACCATCTCAGCCATAAATTGTTGAAGTCAGAGCCCATCTGTGTTCTATATAATGACCTAAATCTGTGAGATTTCTATGTCATTATTAAGTGCAACTATAGTGCAAGTCCAATAACAATTGTAATCCAAAGAGCTCGATCCTTATGACTTAGCTCTATAAGATGATTTGAGCAAGTGAAAGGTAACTTTCCTGAATGACGTATGTAGCTTCCTACGTATAGAATGTGGTGCACAACACATTTATAAACAAGATTGTACTTGACATAGCTTGTTGACTCCCTAGGATACGACATTGCTTTGATATTAAGTTTGTCACACTCTAAACTCAAGAGGTGCAATTGACACCTAATATAAAAAATTAGGCTAGAGATATAAATGACAGAGTAATAGATGAGATTGACTTAAGTACAGATTCAAGTCCAACACCGGTACAAGTAGACCTATCAACTACAGTGACTAGGGAGGGAGCTTTGTGTGATTAAAATCTAGTAAAATATTAGAATTACTAGTCATATGATTTATGGCACCTAAATCAATCACCCATTTATTTAAACATGTGATAAGACATGTTTCATATGACTTAGCATATGCAGTAGCTGAAGTAAATTTCTTCAATGATTCTGGATAGGCAAAATGATCTTGTGGACCCTTGTACTTGTATGCGTTTGTATTGTGAATCCTTCTACTTACCTCTTTGTCATCTGGACCCCTGAACCCATCTAAACTCAACCTATTGAACCCTTTCAACTCATCGTGATTCTCAATCGCCCTGATGTCACACGCCATGTCAAATAAAATTTGCCACATCATTTTTTATTTTTATAATAATTTCTTTTTTGACAAAAGAAAAATCATAAAGTTTTGATGCAATTTTGACAAATTAAATTTTTATTTATTATTTTAAATTAAAAGTTTGGGGTCTCCTCACATCATCTTCCATTTTCACCGTGAAATGGCCTAACTGCCGGAAAAAGTCGTTGTTGTTGCCGCTCATCTTGCCGACGAGACCACAAATATGATCTCCCCCACCAACCTCCATCTTCATCGCACACCCTCACCATTTTCTTTCCTCCTTCTCTAACCTCCACAAATCCAGAAACCCTAAGCCGCCGCACCAGCTCCTCGCCCCTCACCATCACCGACCACTATGCTCTCCATCCTCTCCGGAGTATCAGAAGGCCAAGGAACTCCTTACTGTCTCCGGCGTACAAATATGCTAGGAAGCTCTTTGCCGCCGTCTCATTCGTCGTCGCAACTCTTGCCAGCGATCATATGTGCTCTTTTCCTCACCCGTCTTCATCTCCGTCGCACCATGGCCACCAAATCTGACCGGAAAACCTCTTCGCTGTCGTGACCAGATCCCACCCTCACCCGCCTCGTTCTTCTTCCACTGACCTGCATCGTCTCTCTCTAGGTGCCAATGCGAAGATCTGCTAAAGAAGATGACAAGAGTGTGAATAAGAAAGAAAAATGGATTGGACAGGGATGGAGATGGCCAAAAATGGAGGTGAACCGGTTGGCGAAAGAAGAAGGCCTTTTTTAGTTATCTTTTTTAAAGTTTTTTTATTTTATTGTTTTATTTTTTTATTTTTTAAATTTTTTAATACTTTTTAAAACTTAAATAGGATATCACTCACCTTAACGAGAGTGAATTCTTCTATTTCGCCGGAATTCGTTGATTGCTCCGTACGAATTTACAATGGAAAAACTCTCGATCTCGCTTGGTGGTACCCCTCTCGATGATTGTTGACTCAACATTGATTTCGTTCTTGAGTTGGAGGGCTCTCCCTCCATCCATCGAGTCAAGAATTCACGCACTT